GCCTCGACGAGGCAGGCGTGACGCGCAAACTGTGTGAAAGGCCGTTGCACTTTAAAAAAAAAAACCCTAAACGCTGAAACCCTAAAACCCTGAACTTTAATCCCTAAACCTCCAAAGAACGCAGAACAAACCCTAAACCCTAACCCTAAACCCCTCAACCCTAAACCCCTAAACGGCGCCTCGTTCTTGGCCAGGCCTCGCTTGCCTGCAGCACGTCTCGGATGAGGAGCCTCAGACCGCCACTCCTCCTGGATTTTTTGGGTGGGCTTTGGGGTTTAGGGTTTAGGGCGGCTTAGGGTTTTAGGGTTTGGTCCTCAGACCGCCACTCCTCCGCTTGCTTTGTTTTTTTTCGGTGGGCTTTGGGGTTTTAGGGCTTTGGGGGTTTAGGGTTTTAGGGTTTAGGGTTTTGGGGTTTAGGGCTTTAGGGGTTTAGGGTTTTAGGGGTTTAGCGTTTAGGGTTTCAGGGTTTAGGGTTTAGGGTTCAGGGCCTATAAATAAAGGGCTCAGAGTTGAGGTTTGAAGGTTGAGGGGCCTATGAATTTTGCTTGGAAGTTCATGGGTAGTTATCAACAGGGTAGCCGTAGTTATATAACCCATATTAGAGGATGTAGAACCCTGCCTATAACGAAGTACCTATGAACCTCCAAGTGGGTGGGCCCTATAAATAGGGCTCAGGGTTGAGGTTTCAAGGTTCAGGGGCCTATAAAGGGCTCAGGGTTTAGGTTTTGAGGTTCAGGGGCCTATAGAGGGCTTAGGGTTTAGGTTTGAGGTTTAGGGGCCTATAGAGGGCTTAGGGTTTAGGTTTTTCAGGTTTAGGGGTTTAGGGGTTGAGGGTTTAGGGCTCACTAGTTGTTTTTTGTTGGTGGGGGGCTCCCTTATAAGAGCGACGATGTACCTACATAGTATAGACTGAGGCCTTAGAGGGGCTTTTGAGCACTTCAAGGCCAAAGTGAACTATGTGGAGTCTTATTGAGTAGAGCAAGGTTCTGGGATGCCTTGATCAAGTGTATAGTGGCTGTAAGGGGGATAATATATACAGCTTATTCAGACCTCTACCCTAAACCCTAGGCCCTGAACCCTAAGCCCTAAACCTAAAACCTAGATCAGGGGCTTTTAGGCCAAAGTGGAATCCGGGCCAGCCCGCGCCAAATTGCCAAGGTTGTTTAGGGTTGAGGTGTTGGGTTCGGGTTTAGGTTTAAGGGTTTAGGGTTTAGGTTTCCAGTGCTTTCGGATTTAGGGTTTTGGTTTCCACTGCTTTATATAATGGTGTTCCCCAAACTATAGAGTACTTTAGCCAGCGTTTGGTATCGTGGCACTTAGGGACTTGGGGCGTGCCTTCTGTTCAAGTCGCCACAGCCCTGCAAAGCTGTACCGTATGTGAAAACCCCCAAAGCAATGGCGAAAAAACATCTGGAACCCCAATATACGGGACACCGAGCTTCAAGCACCCCTTCATGACACGTGGTAAAAATTTGGGCAGCAAGCCGGTAGTACCCCGTAAGCACCCGTTTAGAATGTGACAAAATGGCCCGTAGAACCGTACACAGAAAGCCTTGTGCTAGAATCCCTAACCCTAAGCCCTAAAAACCTAAAACCTAAGCCCTGAGCCCGGAACCCCAAAACTCCAAAACACCAACTCAACTAAGTTGCATTCCAGCTAACGATGCTCAGCACGGAAGCCTGGCCTAACCCCTTAACCCCTAAACCCCTAAACCCTAAACCATAATAAGCCTAGACCCTAAACCCTAAATCCTATGCCCTAAACCCTAAACACTAAACCCTAAACCCTAAAGCCTAGACCCTAAACCCTAAGCCCTAGACCCTAGACCCTAGACCCTAGACCCTATATAAACCCTATACCCTAAACCCGAGACCCTATACCCTAAACCCTAGTATATACCCTAAACCATAGACCCTATATATACTCTATTTGTACCCTAGACCCTAAACCCTAAACCCTAATAACCCTAATAACCCTAAATCCTAATAACCCTAGACCCTAAACCCTAATAACCCTAGACCCCCATCTATAGCCTACACCCTAAACCCTAAACCCAGGTCTATTGGAGATACATTGCAAGCCGTGCACAGGCGCTGTCGCTGGGCCTGGCCATCGGGGGCTTTCATGGGATGTCGCGAGGGTTTTGAACGCTCTTAGGGTTCTAAGCTTTGGGGTTTAGGATTCAGGGTTTTAGGGTATGGGATGTCAGGAGGGTTACGTTCATGGGATGTAAGGAGGGTTACGGTCTTAGGGTTCTAAGCTTAGGGTTCTAAGTTTAGGGTTTTAGGGTTTAGAGTCTGGGGTTCTAAGTTTAGGGTTTAGTGTCTTAGGGTTCTAAGCTTAGGGTTCTAAGTTTAGGGGTTAGGGTTTGGGGCTCCAAGGGTTTAGGGCTTCGGGTTCAGGGTTCTA